TCATAAAATCCTATAAATGTACAGTAAGAATATTTTAAAATGTAAAAAATTAAAAATAAACCATCACAAGAAAAACAAAAAAACAAAAAAAAAAAAAAAAGTATAAAAGAACAAGAAAAACGAGGAATCCAACCAACTTCAACATAACATTGTCAAGAGGAGGTATGTCAACTTTAATTACATTTCCCCTTCTAAAACAAAATCCTTGCTTTTCTGTATCCAGAATCAGCTGATGAACCATTTCAATATATTTTTTATCTTAGTAGTTCAAACGAAAATTCTGGCCTTCAACAAAGCAAAAGAAAATGGCAAAAATACAAAGTAAAATCATTAAAAATATCTTCCAATTTAAAAAACTAAAAAGATTCTTAAAAAAATGAAAACATGTCCTTAAAAATGTAGAAAAAGTAAAATAATTAAAAATATCTTCCAATTTAAAAAGATTTTACTAGTTTAAAAAGAATATTTGATATTCTACATTTACAGGATTTATCAAGTTAATTTGAATTTTAATTTTTTCTTACTGTTCTGTTATTTTTACACAATCAGCGCTTGACAAATTTGGAGGAAAAGCCTTTTCTGATATCTAAAACATCTGCTCAGGAGGACAAATGGAAAACCGAATCATTTGAAAAAAAGATTGATTTTAATGAAATATGTAGGTGGCGCTGGCGTTTTTTGACTACTGACGCCACCTATACAACTTCGTAAATGTGCTAAACAGTTCAGTTGTTGTCGGAGTACTGTTATGTGAGGTTGTCATTGCATTATGTCAGAGTTAACAGACTTCGAACGTGGGCAAATTGTTGGAGCACGTATGGTAGGTGCTTCCGTAAGCAAGGTAGCCGAGGTGTTTAGTGTTTCAAGAGGTACTGTATCGAAGATTTATTCCGCATATTTGAAAAGCGGAAAAACATCATCTGCTAAATCACAGCGCGGACGAAAGTGTGTCCTGAGTGATCGTGACAGACGATCATTAAGGGCAATTGTGACGAAAAATAAGAAGACCACAGCTGCAAAAGTTACTGCTGAAATGAATGTTGTGTTACCGAACCCTGTGAGTACCAAAACAATTAGAAGGGAGCTTCATAAACAGGGAATTGCTGGCCGTGCTGCAATTGAGAAGCCACTCATCAGTGATGCTAATGCCCGTAACAGGAAAAGGTGGTGTTTAAGTCATAAAGCCTGGACTATAGAGCAGTGGAAGCGAGTAATATGGTCTGACGAGTCTTCTTTCACATTGTTTCCCACTTCTGGCCGAGTTTACGTCTGGAGAACGCCATCTCAAGCCTATAATACAGACTGCTTGTTGCCAAGAGTGAAACATGGCGGGGGTTCTGTTATGGTTTGGGCAGCCATATCGTGGTTCTCTGCTAGCCCCATGATAACTGTGTCAGGGCACATGACTGCCAAGACTTATGTGAACATTTTGGCCGATCAAGTTCATCCCATGGTACAAACTTTGTTCCCCGATGGTGATGGTGTCTTCCAAGACGACAAAGCCCCTGTTCACACAGCTCACATTGTCCAGGACTGGTTTTCTGAGCACGAGGATGAGTTGTCCCATCTCCCCTGGCCACCACAGTCACCAGACCTGAATATTATCGAACCTTTGTGGTCTACATTGGAACGGAAAGTGCGTTCTCGTTATCCACCGCCAACATCGTTATCTGAACTTGCCACCGTTTTGCAGGAAGAATGGTATAATATTCCCTTGGCAAACATACAGGAACTGTATTTATCCATTCCGAGAAGACTGCAAGCTGTTTTGGATGCCAACGGGTTTCCTACACCATATTAAGCAAAGAAACATGTTTTTTTAAAGGTGTTTCCATATTTTTGTCCAACCCCTGTATCTATTGCACATAAATCCCTTTCTTACATAAAATATGTATGTATACAATAACTAAATAAATCAGGAAAAAAATAGTTCTGTTGCTTAATTAGCAACTATGAAATCTTAGAAATTGTATAAATTTTAATGGCAAACATTAAAATAATGAAAGTAAATAAAATTTAAACTTGTAGGAATGTACTTTATAAAATTAATAACAAGTGGTTAAAAACATATATTTTAATTACTTAAAACATGGAAGTTATTTGGCAGAGATTGTTGGATATAAAATTACTACTTCAAATTTTCAAATTACTATTGTTCATATTTAAAGTCTCAACTTGCAATCTTAATCCACATAACAACCATTGCAAAAATCACCCATTATCGTATTCCAAAGATCAGTAGTATACAGTGTTTTCAAAATCTTGCATAATATTACATATTGGCTTTTTGATATTCAAGTTGTTACAAATAGGATGAACTGTTTTTATTATTTTAGACTAGTAGTTTATTCTTCCATTCACTTCCTTTTCTACAGTATTTCATTTTTTTATATGCTTGACTATCCAAAATTTCAACAGCATTCTGGATATTTTTTTTAGTTCAGTTTTTACTGTATACACATTTCAGTATTTACATCGTCAAAAGTGCACAGACACATACTTGAAGTGAATTTAAAACACAGGGATAGGAAAACACAGGAATTGGAAAACAAAAAAGTACTGATTCGAAGATCGTTTTGTTTTTTGTTCATGAAAATCAAAGTTCATTACACAAGCATGCAATCACACTGCACAAGTACACACTGCATTTTTTAACACATTTACTAATTATGTTAAATAAAACAGAAAATAATGTATAACAAATGCATAAAGTAGTTAAGCTTTTATCAAACAGAACATAATACTACAGTTGCGAAGATATTTAATCTTATAAAGTTAGGTAATTTAGTAAATTTCAGTTTTTCACCAAAGCAATGAAGTATTTTGATAATTATGAAGTTCCTTGTATATCTTTATAGATGAACTTGATCGCCGTTTTAAGGAATTAAACAACTGTGCAAGTTAGTTTAATAATTTTAAAATATATGCACTAAAAGAAACATTAAAATGCATTAATCTATTTGTCAACCTTGATTTTAGCAGCATTCTGTCTGCAGAATGCTTTGTAGTTTTTAAGCACACAAAGAGGCACTGCAATTCTTATTCCTTGATCTGAAGTTTTCTGCAAGTGTTTTTTTATTAAACTTGCTGTATTGGCACACATACAGTTTTTTGTGCCTTCAGATCTGGATGTGCTTTTGCGAACAATCTCGTTTGTTTTACTGGTGTCGCTGAATTTTGTGATGAATGCATTGCATTTATTGCTGAGTATCACCTTCTAGATTTTTCGTACTGTTAGTGTATACGTCAGCAGTGAATTATTCTCCTCTTTCTTCAAATACACTACGTTGATAAACAATAACTATTCACTAAAGATTTTGCATAAATTTCCACTCATAATAATTTAAATTGCAAAAATCTCACAATTAGCACCTAAACATACTATTCAGCACCGCAATTCTTTCGAAAGCACGCCGTAGTAGTCTAAAGGGGAGTACACCGTCTTCTATTTGCCAGGTGAAACTAATAGATATTTCCGTGACGTCAGAAATTCAAAATGTGGAGTAGGGTTTGGAAATACGCGGCAGGGACAGATTTAGAGTTATCATTTTTAATGTCATTATACATAGACTAATTACAGAACTAAAGAGATGCGGATCTGCTTATGAGGATTTAAGTAAAAGTTTGACTTTCTTACAAAACTACATTGTTTGGAATCTTTGGAATCTAAATACTTCCTTGAAGGAGCCAGAAACCTCATAACTTTTTATCCAAGGGATTTGGATAGGACTTTGGAAAACGAGTGTCTGCACCTGCAAGCTCGTTTGCCATAAAATGATGAAGTTATGGAGTTATCGTCACAGAAGCCATACAAATACTTATCGGAAAAAGGCTTTTTGGACATTTATCCAAACGTAGGAATTGTGCTCCGAATGCTGTTGTGTACACCAGCGTCAAACCGCTTAGCAAAAAGGTCGTTTTCTGTGCTAAAGAGAGTAAAGAATTACTTAAGATCTAACACAGGAGAGTACAGGCTCAGTTCATTCTCTGTAATGTACATAGTGTCAGAAATAATGCAGTCAATTGACTATGGTGATGTCATTCGTTCTTTTGCACAGAAGAAAGTTTGTTGTATTATTCTATAAATTTTATAAAATAGCGTAACTATAGTAACACAGACTGTATAATTCTGAATTTTGATGTTTATTAAAGTCAATTGAAAATTATATGTTCTGTACTATTTAATTTGCTGAATTTCCAAAATAGCTTTGAGAAATGTCAAGTGCCTAGGGGCCCTGGGTCTCTAAGTCTGGACCTGATGATATTATCACATAATAAGGAAGAAATCATATAAAATAAATGTAAGGGAAAATGTACAAGATTTATTTAATATTATCTTTTAAATTAATATTAATTTAAAGTTGTTATGCAATAAGTGCAATATAAAAATGCAAAACGCAGCACAAGAAGACGCAAGCAAAAATCTGATCTTGGTGCAAGAAGAGTTTACTGCATCTAAAAGAGACATTCAAGTACAAGTTTTAATCAAAACACATGGGTATATCAAGTTTTAAAATTTAAGTTAATCGAGAGAAATATTTCAAAACTTAAAAGTTGTTACCGAAACAACATTATCGACTTTCTCCTTTTCTTACCTAGTAGAAGCAGGCTTTAGTTAAATCTAATGTACTACAAAAAATAAGGAATAGGTTGCATATTTTTTAGCAAGGTGATTTAAAAATAAAGTTAAACATTTTAATTTCCAGTATTAAAATATATATATATATATATATATATATCAATACATCATGTACAGCCATCATGTAAATTAAAATCGAACTTGTGTGCAATAAGATTCTGTGATTTTGTTTTTGAAAACTTGCTTATGTTTATAAAATTGAAACAATAATAGCACCACATAATACAGTACAAAGTCCGAAATCCAGACTCCTCGGGACTTTGGCAATTCCAGAAGGAAACGTAAATCTAATAAACCATTCTTTTTTCAAATCTCTTATTCACCTTCTTAAAATGACTAAAACTGTTTTTTTCTTTCAAAGGACAAGGAAAACTGGATGCTGGAATGCCAATTAATGAAAGCCAAGGTGTGTATTATTATTATCTTAGTGTATAGTACATATATCGAACATTAGTGTCGAATAGTGTGATTTTATTCCTCCCCATGAAAATCCTCTATTTATTCCTTAATACAATGATTTTTCAACCTTTTTTGCCCGATGCACCCTTTTTGCCATTGTTAGATGATGCCCCTCCCTCCTTTTTAAAACTCAAAAATTACGTATACATTTATTTAAATTTAGGTTATTTGTATTATGCTTTGTAAATTAAACAAGAACAAGCATAGAAAGTGTTGATAAGTATCAAACATTGAATAAAAGTAGTTTATATATATATATATATATATATATAATAGTAAGAATAATGTAGTGAACTTGCTAAAAAATTACCAGGGGCTGTGGCTCCAAGAAATAGTTCAACGCAGTATTTTTAAAATATTAACATAGAAGTAATTTTTAAAAATTATTAACATGGAGAAGTGAAAAAACAGCCTACACACGAAATAAAACTGTTAAAATCAATGTTGGAAAAAATGTGAATGCACAAAGAAACTAATCTGATCGTTGTGATATGTGAAAAGTTAATACATATAAAAACAGATCGACGGAACAAGTTAAAACAAAATTAAAATATAATCATTAAAACACAAATTGCAAAAATTATAATTAAAACATAAATTGCAAAAATTACAAAAATTATCAAAATTACAAAGTGGAAAATGGTAAATTAGCCCAATTGGACTTGCAACCAAGCTTTTCAAGGGAAAAATCGTTGAATGTCGAACTAAGCTAACACCATTACGCGTTTCGCCGAAACAGACAATTGAAGCTCTTGTTTGACGAAAAATTTTTTTCGAAAAGCCTGGTTGGAAGTCCAATTGGGCTAATTTACCATTTTCCGCTTTGTAATTTTTGCAAGTTATGTTTTAATTATAATTTTTGCAATTTGTGTTTTATTTATTATATTTTAATTTTGTTTTAACTTGTTCCGTCGATCTGTTTTTATATGTATTAACTTTTCACATATCACAACGATCAGATTAGTTTCTTTGTGCATTCACATTTTTTCCAACATTGATTTTAACAGTTTTATTTCGCATGTAGGATGTTTTTTCACTTCTCCATGTTAATAATTTTTAAACATTCCTTCTATGTTAATATTTTAAAAATACTGTGTTGAACTATTTCTTGGAGCCACAGCCCCTGGTAACTTTTTAGCAAGCTCACTACAATATTTTTTACCATTATTTCATATTTTGCGCAAAACAATTTTTAAGACCAAATAGGTCTTACGTCACATTACTTGTTTGTTTTTCAATTTCTATTTCGATTATATATATATATATTCTTAACCCTCTGAGTGTTATGACTGGCTTTATCCAGTACTCAGAAATTTTGCTACTTGGCCTGCATTAAGATATTTTGCTTTCTTACTTTCTTTAATAATGTAAATGAATGTAAGTTTTTGAAAATACAGACTAAAATTAGTAATTAAACAAACGCAATTAATAGATGCTGTTTAATTACTGGTCTTCATGACGGATCTAAAATCCTGTGCCGCTCAGAGGGTTAAACTGAAAATACTTAAAAGGTGAATCAAATTCAAAATGCACTCCTCTCCCTGAAACTGAAATTCCACCCCTGGGAGAAATAGAAATTTCCTCCTGGTTGCGACCTACCAGCAGCTGAGTGGTAAAGTCGCTGAACGCTGGTAGTTTGGTCCGAGGTTCAAATCCCACAAGCAGGCTGGCTGCATGGGTGTTTTCATGGTTTTCCCCGTGTGCAATGTGTATACAAGCCAGTTTTTCGTAAAACGTTCTCCATGAATGCACCCTTTCCCTTAGACAGATAAAACCCTCCTGGTTGTGAGCCCCTGCTTTAGTATATTAATTTCTATATTGATAAGAATAATATAAAATGATAATTAATGATCATTTAGAAAGGAGAAAAAGCTGTTAATAGTTAAAAAGCTATGCAATTTATCAAATTTTCAAAATAAGGTACAAAACAGTTAACTGAAACTTTTTAGATTCAAATTAGTACCAAATCATAAAATAAGGTAAAAAAATATCAGTTAATGTTTCATATGTGTTGAGGAATGGAATTTGTTTAGAAATTTAAATAAAGAGCTTTAACAAAATTTGAAATAATATATACAATGAACCTCAAAATATTCTGTTTAACAAAACATTGTTAAATTCTTTTAAAGATTTTTTTGAAAAAAATTTGGTATGTGTGTGGGATGGGAGTATTACATCAAATTACTTTCATTAAATAATAAAATACTCATATCATACATAATAATTTAGAGCAATTAGACTGCAGAATTCAGATTTACAATTTTTGAATCAATTATTTTTTCAGTTCCTTGAAATTATGAACAATTAAAAGTGAATTTATAAATGATATCTTATCAAATGTATTGAAACTTGCCATTGTGGTAAAAGTCTATAAAATATTTTATATACGAGGGTAAGCTGAAAAATAAGTTTCCCCTGTCGACTGTGGTCAGAGTTGTGTATGAAAGTCAAAAAATAGAACGAGATATTAAAGATATGACATACCTTTATTTTATTATTCTCATACGAGTACGTTGAGACATTTGTCATATCGCTTGATAAGCTTCAAAAAGTCCTCCAAGAAAAATTCAGCTTTGCATATGGAAGAAGCGTTGAACGGCTATGGGCGAAAGGCGACACAGCAGGAAAACGCACAAGTCACCGATACACCATTGGGTACAGGTCGCTGCAAATCAAGCAGATGGCGCTGTTGCAGTGCCTGCGCAAAGCGGAGACCAGCCTCTCATTTGAGCCCCAGTAGGTATGGAGAGAAGGTGCGTTTTGAATTCGTGGTCAAAGGAGGAAGTGAGAGCAGTTATCCGCTATGAATGGGCACGTGGAGTATCAGGAACAGAAATTCATAACCGCCTCGTGGAAGTCTATGGGCCAGGTGTGATGTCGAAGCAAATGGTGCAGAGATGGTGTCGCACATCAGTGATGGACGTCAGCAAGTGGAGGACATACCGAGAGCTGGACGGACGCGCACGGCCACTACAGATGCAAATGTCAGGAAGGTGGATGACATAATTAGAGCGAACCGGCCATCGATGAAGTAGCGGAAGAACTTGGTATCTCACATGAGCCAGCTCAAAACATCATCCACGACATTCTTCGATACAGAAAAGTGTCAGCACGATGGGTGCCCCGACAATTGACCTCGACACACAAGGAACAATGCATGGGGGTCAGCCTGGAACATCTCGTGCGTTACCATGAAGATGGCAATGACTTTCTGTTTCGGATTGTGACGGGGGATGAACCGTGGGTCCACCATTTCATACCAGAATCGAAGGCTGCATCTATGGAGTGGAAACATCCGTCATCACCTGTCCGAAAGAAGTTCAAGACAACTCCCTCTGCAGGTAAAGTGCTCCTCACAGTTTTCTGGGACGCCCAAGGAGTTTTGTTGCTGGACTTTTTGGAGGTTGGAACCATCAATGCTACGCGCTACTGTGACACCCTGTCGAAATTGAAAGAGGCAATTCGGAAAAAGCGGCCTGGCCATCTCACATCTGGCGTTCTGCTGTTGGATGACAATGCCAGACCACATTCGGCGATGGCAACACAAAACCATATTGCAACTCTTGGTTGGGAGCGCCTACAACCATCCGCCATACAGTCCTGATCTCGCACCAAGCGACTTCCATCTGTTTCCGGCTTTGAAGAAAAATCTCGGGGGAAGGTGTTTTGGAAGCAATACTGAAGTGAAACAAGCCGTTCAACGCTTCTTCCATATGCAAAGCCCTGATTTTTTCCTGGAGGGCTTTTTGAAGCTTATCAAGCGATATGACAAATGTCTCAATGTACTTGGTACCTATGTGAAAAAATAAAGGTATGTCATATCTTTAATGTCTCATTCTATTTTTTGACTTTCATACACAACTCTGACCACAGTCGACAGAGGAAACTTATTTTTCAACTTACCCTCGTAAATGTCCGATTAATGTTTTTAAGAAACATTGAAATAAATATTAGTTTTCTTTTCTTTTAAAGAAAATAACATTTATAAAAATTATTTGTGTATCAAATGCTTTATCATAGTTGTTCAAAATGAGTTTATCCTACTTTCAAAGCATTTCTTTTTTAGCCTAAATAAGTGTCATGAAACTTTTTGTATTGAATGCAGTTTCCTATTGTGAGCCATCTAGAGCTCATTTGGAGCAGTGTATTTTGAAGAAATTTGGTATATTTGTTATTCAGACCACAATAAAGAGATTTCTGAAGAAGAAGAAGAAAAATAAGCCTTTTAAGCCTTAGAGGAAAGTGTCGAGCTTAAAGAACTACAGTTGTAAGTCAGAAAGGGAAAATTAGTTTCATTTATAGCAACCAGTGTTCAGAATATGCACCTCCTGCAAGTGTATTTAATTAATGGGTATTTAAATTTAATTATCTTGGTATTTAAATAAGTGATGGATACTTAAATCAGAATGATCAGTGGCTGCACAAAGCTGTTCTCAGGGAATATGAGTAACATGCCATGTTATGCTAGCTTTCAGCTCAGGCTGAGTCTGTATGCTTCCTTGATAAGCATAGTCTTTTGGGAATCTTCACAGATAGAGATCACAGGAGTTATGTATGGAGAACAGGGAGATCAAACATCTAAAAAACCTTTTGAATTTCTCTTATGCTTACTTTTATTTTATTCAGAAGTGGATTATTTTCTGATTTGCATAAAATTTCTGCTGTAAAATGCTACCTGATGGCGAAAATTTGAACTTTTGTTTTTTCAGAATTCTTTTTCATTAAGAACAATACTGCAAAATATTTTGATTAGAATATACTTCTATGGGGTTATGAGTAGGAATATTTTAATTATAACCATCCATTATGTTATATGTATGCTTTTTCCTTAATGCATTTCATCATATTACAGTATATTTATTTATTAAATTGATTTTCTTCCTTATCATGTAAATTTCACAGTTCTGTTATTTTAATGGAAAGTTATCTTTTTTTAGAATCCTGCTGTTCAATCAAGTGGTGAGATGAAGTTACAAGATTATGATGAAATCCAGTTATTTGTTAAAACAACTGTAAATCGGCTGATCAAGCAGATACAGTTTGCGGATAGCAAATCCATTGCCTTTAGAAATGAAGTCTGTATCTTTTTATTTCAATGTCTAAATATAATGTTAGAAAACTCTTTATTTTTTCATTAACATTTGCTTCTCAGTCATCATTGATTTTATTTTTAAACATAGCTTAAAATATTTTTAATGATCTGACATTTCTTGTATCTGTTTTTCAAAGATTTAAGTAGTGATTTTTATATAAAATGAAGCATTTTTTCCCCTCTAACCCCTTCGCGCCGACTGTCACGTATACGTGCCAGCAATGAACACACTTATCTATCGGCCGACACGCAGGCGTGTCAGGGCATTGTTGCGTTTACTACCGACTGTCACGTATTTGTGCCAGTACCTTGGAACGTTTTTCAAACTATAATTTCTGCCACAAGATGGCACTGTATGTCCATATGGTTTCAGATACATGTACATTAGACCTTCTACTCGAAATGAGAGAAGCATGACTCACATACACGTGTTTTTGATTATATAAACAAACGGGGAACTAAATGTTTCCGAATGGCGTGATTTATGACGTCTCTTTAAATCGCACTTTATTCGCACGTGGTAGTTGTTTATTGTAAGTAGAAGTTTTATATGCGCTAAAGCGTTGAGTATTTCGGTTTACAGTTCAGTTTTTAGAAAATAATTAGATCTTGTTAGACGTGAATTCTTTCTGTTTTTACCGTTTCAATGTCGAAGCGTCGAAAATGTTTAACAGAGCATGAAATAGCAGAAATGATGCAAAATATTTCAGATATTGATTCTGAAAGATTAACTGAAAGACATTTTCCAAAACTTTGTTCAGAAGAGACTGATAAGAAAATGAGACGACGATGCTTCGTTTGTTCACATTCCCGGAAAAATCCTCCAAAACGGCAAATGAGTTATTACGAGTTCAAGGAATGTAACGTAGGACTGTGTGTAGATCCCTGTTTTACAAATTTTTCATACGAAAAGAGAATTTTAAGTAATATATTTAGTTTTCAGATGTATAATGTTAAAAGTCATAAAATGGTGAGTAATTAAAATAAAATGTGTAAAATATGCATTGAAACAAGAAATAAGGTAATTAAAGTATATATATATAAAATATTATAAAGCATAAGCCGTTTAAATACTCTATAGAGCATTATTAAACGATGCGTTGATACTTCGGAAATTTCATGGATTTAGGCTTAGTAGCAAAAAAGCCCCCGACCCTGGAGAGACGCTCGCAGAAGACACTGCCGGCCTTCGCGATAAGTGCGCGTTTTCGCTACCCGGCTCGAAGGGGCTAAGTTAAGAATACTTACTTTGAAAGAGTAAATATATACAGTAGCTTTTATTTATGATTGCTTTTTTATTTTGTTTCTTAGTGTGAAATATTGCATCAAAAATTGAAAATGAGTTTGCATAAAAAGGAGCAGTTAGAAAATGAAATTGCAAATGCAAGGCAGGTTATTGAGCGTATGAAGGTAATATTTATTTGAATTTTGAATGCTTATTTCTGAGATATAACTAAAAGTACATATACATTGCTGGCCATCAAAATGTAACACTATAATAAAAATAAAATGTCTAAGATATAGCTTATTATAAGCCATGTTTATTATAATATTAAACTCAAGTTGCTAGTCACCTCCATTATCAAAATGATATTTCTGGAAAATGCATCCAATGAGAACAAAGGTGAATTGTGATATTTTCAACAGCATCTGGGGGGGGGGGACCAAAGAAAACTGATGTGGTGTCTTTCTGTGACAGGCCTTCTTAATTTTTTTCCAGTTACGATCCCTTTTTATCATTGAGATTTTTTTCGTGACCCCATGATATTTACGAAAATTTTGTGGGACCATATAAGCATTGCGCAAATCTGACACACGCACGAGCGAAACTGTCAGTGTTTTTCCTTGTACTCTAATATACTATGGCAGTTTTAGGTCATTAACTTTAATTTCTGATTTTTTTAAGACATAGAACAATGTGAACATTTTAAATAACATGAAATAACAGCGTCACCTGCATAGCAAGTAAAATGAACCTTTATATTATAAAAAGAATGCGTCGAAACGTTTTAGTTTTTTCTTTGTCTGTATTGTCTTATTTCGATCTGTTTTTAGATACATTCTAAAATTATTATAATAAATTAAAGAAATATTAAAACTGCTAAAAGTTTTGGCAACCTGCTGCTGCATGTCACGACCCACAGTTTAAGAAACTCTGTTCTATGACATGCCCACTCTAAAGATTAATTTTATGAGTAAACATTACTGTACTAGGTGTAAATTAAAGATTTTACATTGAGGACACTTTCCCTATTGTTATTTCTTATTTGTATTGGATGGTAAGGTAGTGTGTGGCCAAAAGATTTAGACTGAATATGAACTTTATTATCATACAAATAATTAATGGTACAAAAGGTAAACTGGTACAGTTGTCTCAGGTTATCGCTGCAATGCTGCCAGACATAAATGCAACCATCATGATACTTCATGCAGAAGTGCAGGACATCTGGAAAGATGACATCTTGGCATTTGGTTGTCTAACCAGGCATCATTGCAGACAAGGATGCTGATGGTACACAGTCAGAAGCAACAAAAACATTTGCTACCTTGCAGAAATTCCATAGTGCTAGAGACTGAAAGGTTGAACTATATTTGTGCAGATTGTTTGCTGTACTTACTTTAACTTAGTCTCTCTCTTCTAATGCAAGGAGGATGAAGTTCCTTTGTGGCACTGAATATCAGTGTGTGCCTAAGCACTTTTTATAAATAAGCCTAATGCACACAAAAACAAAAATACTTTCTCCCCCCAAAAAGTGTAAAAAAAATATTATTATTAATATTGAAATACCGTAATTTTCAGATGAAACGCCGCACCGTTTACGTGTTTAATACTTAAATTTTCAGCGGGTGCAGCATTTCTACACATGGCGCACTAAAAATAAAATATTTCCTATGATGGTCATTGTACATAGTTTGGATGGCCTTGTCATTGTGCATAGATTGGTGCTGTTCCCACACAAAAGACTACTCAGTTGCTTTTTGCGAACGTTATTTTGTTTACATTCTTTCCCTTGAACAGACCTACATACCTTACTCACCCTAAATGAGATCTCAGAACAATAATATTCTTCCCTCTTTCAAATCAACATTCTCATCAGTTTGAATAGTCTCTCTTCTCTGCCATTCGATGAATCTTCCAGGACCCATCCTCTCCCCACCCCTGCCTTTTCTGCAATTTTTTTCGAAGGCGAACACGACTCCACCTGCCTCGCAATAACGAACTCTCATGTATTTCCCCTTCAGCATGAATCAATTTTTCTTGGCGTTCTGCCAGATACAGTTTGGGTACAACTATATGTTGGATAGTTTTTAAGTAAGAAGGGAGTGGAAAATTTTTGAAAATGTCACCTAAACAAAAGCTATACTGCTGGTTTTAAGCTTAATGTAATTTCACGTGCTGAACAAATTGGAAATCGAGCAGCAGCTCGAGAGTTTTAAGTGGACGACAGATGTATTCGACGTTGGAGAACTGAAAAAGAACTTATTAAAAATATGCCATAACAGAAACGAGCCAAAAGAAATGGTACTGTAAGGTGGCCGAATCTAGACGACGACCTTCCAAACTGGATAAAGGAGCAACGAGGAAAGGGAATGGCAATTTCAACTGTAAAAATTCACTTACAAGGAAAATTTATAGCAAAACGAATGAACATAAATGATTTCAAAGAGGTGTAGCAGATTTATGAAAAGAAAAAATATTTCTGTGCTTACTAGAACAACAGGCGGGCAACAATTACCAATGGACTGGCAGGATAAAAAGGCATCTTTTCTAAAATATGTGACAGATATTATTGACAAAAAAAAAACTTCTTCGGTCACTAATAAATATGAATGAAACGCCGTTAGCTTTCGACTCTCCTGCAAACAGAACTGTTGATGAAACTAGTGCAAAAACTGTATCTGTGCTTATGATGGGTGATGAAAGAACGTCATTTGCATGTGTGTTAGCTTGTGCCGCAAATGGTGACAAGCTAAAGCCGATGATCATTTTTAAATGAAAGACTATTCTGAAGGGTGATTTTCCTAATGACGTAATTATTTGGGCAAACGAGAACGGCTGGATGTGCGAAACAATCATGCAGGAGTGGCTACAAAAAGTTTGGCAGTGTCGTATGGGATCTTTTTTCCAACCAAAAGGGTAATTGATAATGAATTCTATGCGTGCTAATTTACTTGAGTCAGTGAAAACCAGATGTCAAAAATTGTCTTCGACCGTAGCAATAATTCATGGTGGTTTGACAAAAATCTTACAACTATTAAATTTGTCAGGTAATAAATCCTTCAAAGCTGTTGTCCGAAAGCAATGGATTGTTGGATGATTGAAGGATTGCATAGGTATACCAAAAGTGAGAAAAAGCATAGAGCATCTTATGAAGAAATCGCAAAGTGGGTAGGAAGTGCGTGGAAATCGGTAAAAACTTCGTCAATAATAGCAGGGTTCAAAGAAGCTGAAATTATCTCCTTAGATAAAGAGACTGTAAACCAAGAAGATGAATGTGATGATCTGGAAGACTTAGATCAGGATTTACTAAATCTTTTTAATTCAGATAGTGAAGAATCAGATTTTGATAGCTTCATATGATATATAGTTTGCTGTAATTCTTTTGTAAGTAAAATTTAAAATTTCCTTTTGTCTTCCAAATTTAATATTTCGTTGTTACAACATTTTTTATAATATAGTCTGAGTATTTAGGACTTCTTTAGTGGGTAAATATAAGTATATACGTGAAGGTAAATATATTTTCCACATTTCTTACCTTTAATTTATTTTTGAGTTATGGTTTCATTTCATGCATTTTTCTTAACTGGTATGTCATATAGCAGGACTTAGGTTGAGATTTTGCATCTATACGGCCCACGATGATGTCACACGCAATTTAATGTATTGTGGCGTTTCTGTGTAATTTTAATTTTTTTCCCGCCATTTTTCTCGAGTGCGGTGTTTACGCTGATGTGGCCTTTCTTCCGGAAATTACAGTATTTGGATTCTTACGTAGGTCATTTAAATTTTATTTTTATATATAAACAGAGAATCTGATTTTTACAACTGAAATAAAAATTAAAAAGAAACTGAGTGTAATATTACCAATAATGGTTATATTTATACTTATAAATTATCTCTATGCATGTGTATTATATCTTATTCACATATTTATATGCAAAAACTTAAAGTGCTTTTTGTGTGTAAAACATTTTTCAACCCTGAGCAATAAATTGACAGTATTATGCATTTTACGTTCATAAAATAAAAGGTTAGCACTCAAGCTATTTAATTAAGTTTCATGGCATTTAAAAATCATTTATGTGCTGTTCTATCATGATTTGTGTATCATGCAAATTCTGGGTCAGTCACATATGTCCCTTCTTGTATTGAAGTTAATAGTTTTAGTATAAGAATATATTTCATTTTAAGAGAGTTTATGATTATTATATTATGAATAACATTAAATGATTTAAATGATCAGTAAAAAATGCCCTTCAAAATAGCAATGGAATTTAACTACTTTAATACAAATATTACCGAAAATGTATAAATAAGTACTTTCATGGCATTTTAATTAAGAAAAGCTAAATATTTGTTTATAAAGTGTTCACAATGTCTTTAATGCAGAAGTTAATTTGCTAACTATTCCTAATGTTTCTAGAAATTATCTGACAAAAGTGAACCCCTAATCTTAATACACGGAGAGCATCCCTCATTAAAAGAGAGCATGCCAACATAAAATTAAAAATTAGGCAGGGGGAAAAGGGTAACCTTGCAAGATGTTTTCATGTGCAAGGAAAAAAGGGAAAATACTCTGCAGAATTTTTTTACTCCTGAAGAAGAGTGATCTGTGTCTTGTCTGATCACCCTCAAAATCTAAGCCAAACTAAGGTTACATGTTTGCTTAATTTTAAAGAGAGTTAAAATATTTCACTAAGAAATGAACTTAAAAGCTCGGTGCAAATATTTGACAGTTTGGTTAACCAAATTTAAAAATCGTCATGGTATAAGGCAATTAAGAACTTCAGGTAAAAAAGCTTCAGCTGATACTGAAGCTGCTGAATTATTTGCAGATGAATTCATTCAACTCATTAATAGTTAAAAGTTATCTTGAGAACAAATTTATAGCACTGATGAATTTGGTCTTATTGGCAATATGTAACGTAATACTTTGGCAACCTCTATAAAAAAAAGGCTCCAACTCGGGTCAAAGATTCCAAAACAAGGCTAGCAATTTCAGCATGCACAAATGCAGATAACACAACACGGATGACACAAGTGTTAATGAATGATTGGTTTGAAAATCATTTCATACCCGAGGCTTGGCAGAATTCGCTTTGTTTACCTGATAACAGAAAAATTATCCTGATTGTTCGGCTCATACTTCACTTAAAGTTTTAGTGAAAGACAATGTATCCGTATTATTCTTTCCTCCAAATTGTACATCAATAATTCAGCCTATGGTCATCGGAATAGTGCGCTCACTGAAATGCAAATATAAAGTAGAATTTTTAAAATCCATGTTAAATTTCTTGAATAATGGCAAGACTATTGAAGAATTTAAAAAATATTTTAGCGTAAAATCTGCTTTATGAAGCATCGCAAAATCGTGGGAAGATGTGTCTCCAGAAACTTTAAAAAATGCTTGGCATAATTTTTGGCCAATAGCGTATTTCAATATGATAGGCGTGAATATTAAGGTTTTCGGATGGTTACAGCCGAAAACATCGCAGACGAAAACGTCGCGGAGAAAACAATGCAAGGCGAAAACGTCGTGATAGAAAACATCGCAGTTCTAAAACATCGTGATACAAAATATCGTCGTCCAAAATAGAGCGGTTAAAAAATTTTGCAGTTTAAAAACATCGTCGTCGAAAATATCGTGGTAAAAAGTAAAGTATCTGCAAATCATCGCAGACATGTTTTTTTCAGGCTTTAATAATTGTAAATGGATATTTCCATAATGATTTGTAAGCGCAAGATGGAAAGAAGGATAATTCCTTACTTTCATATTTTTTATTAACTAATAAATTTTTGCTGAAAAAGTAAGAAGGAAATTTAAGCATAGAAAATTAATGCAACTTATAGCACTTAATAGAATTTTAAACTGACATAGTTAACTAACAAAGGTCCATTAATAAATCATTTTTTATAAAGTTTGTACTGGTAATTTTTCATCAAAAGTATAATCTAAAAATGTTTAGAAAAAGGAAGCTACGTAACTGCATGAACTTATCTATAAAAAATTGCTATTATGAGATTATTTTCTTCACTTTTGTCAATCTAATACTCTTAATGAAAATTATTTCTTCTTCTGCTTCAGTTTATTCTTAAGTATTAAGTTTCCTTCTTACTTTCTTAGCAAAAATTTATTAGTTAATAAAAAATATGAAAGTAAAAATTATCCTTCTTTCCATCTTGCGCTCACAAATCATTATGGGAATATCCATTTACAATTATTAAAGCCTGAAAAAAGCATGTCTGCGATGTTATCGTCATGCGATGATTTGTAGATACTTTATTTTTTACCACGATATTTTCGACGACGATGTTTTTAAACTGCGAAGTTTTTGAACCGCTTTATTTTCGACGACGATATTTTGTACCACAATGTTTTAGAACTGCGATGTTTTCTCCCACGATGTTTTCGCCTTGCGTTGTTTTCTCTGCGACGTTTTCACCCGCGATGTTATCGGCGGACACCTTTTGGATATCACAAACTAAAATTTTTAATTTTCCAGTTAATGGATATTTTAAAGAAATGTAGAGAAGCTGTAATAAATGAAGATGATATAACAGAAGTATATCATTACGATGACAGTGCCCCAGTTATCAATCAGTTAACAGACGTCAAAATCTGTAGTATGGTTCTAGATCCAGAAAATGCTGGCACCGATACTGAAGAAACTGACAGAGAGGTTATTGAAAATTAAAAAATTTCAATTAACAAGTTAGTCGGAATTCTCGATACGGCAATTACAGGACCTGAACAATAGAAGTTTGTAACTTAATAAGAAATTGCATCTGTCTACAGAATTAATGAGAAAATATTAGCACAAAACACTTTAACTACTTACATTGAAAGAAATGTTTAATAAAGTAAACAATTATTAACTTTTTTTGTAACTTTTGTTACCCTTTAGATGATAAATGCTTCATTATTACATAAGCCACGATTTCACATTTTTAATTTTGTAATTTCTGCATGCCATCGTACTGGATTTAAATTGATGATCTAATATCCATAAAAATCCCAAATCTGGAATCGAAGTCCCTCGAGCCTGTATCTCAGACTTTGTACTGTATAAACTATATTCAATAATTTTCATGTTATGTACCTGTAATAGATATAATAATGTGCCATATTTTTATATTTTTTACCTAATTAGTATTGTATAAAAGGACTAATTTATTACATTAAATTGTGACCTTTTAATAGATTTTTTTGAAAGAAATTTGCCTCATCCCATCCTTTTTAGTGCCATTTATTTTATATCTACTTGTCATATGATCTTCCAAAATCAAATACTTGAAGTTTAAGCTTATAAACACATTTGTCAAATATGTGCATAAAAGTTGCAGATATATTTATCAAATGTTGTTCCAAACTGTAACAATAAAAAAAAATATGCTGTTCCAGTCATCTATATTTATGTATTTATTTGCTTCTGAATAAATAATATATTGCTCTATACTGCTGTCTTTTTCTAAAACATGTTGCTCAATAAAATGAATAAAAAAATGGTTTTTGTGATCACATGAATGGTGCAAACAAATTTAGATTTAATCAACAAATAATATATATTTCAAAAGGAGAGGACATTGCTAATGAAATAAAGAAGCTAATATACTGATAGTATTGTTCTAAATAAAAAAATAATAAATAAATAAATAGACATTTTATAACAAAATAAAATTAAATGTTTCCTTTTTTGTTTTCATACAATTATAAAATCAAATGAAGTTTTCTAGTCTCTATACTATCAAACATCCAAATTTCATTAAAAAAGAATTTTTTTTATATTAGATTTTCATCCATATGAGTTTAATCTATATTGTGTACCAGGAGTAGCAAATACATTGATCATGGCATGCTTTTGAGTCAACTGCAAGCTACCAATGTATTATTCTTTCATTAGATTATTATTTTTTAAATTTTTCTTGCATACCAGCAGATTGTGGCATTGTCTCTAGAAAGAAATGGCTATGCTCCTTGATTTCGACGAGTCTGATGTTATTTAAATGTATTTTGTAATTAATATTATGAATTTTTTAATTTTACAGGAAGAACAAAAAACTCTGATGCAAAACTACGAAGATCAATTAAATACTATGAGTGATCATTTAGCTAATTTAAATGAAACTTTAACTGCTCAGAAAGATGAGATTGATGCTCTAAAGCAAGCTGGAAATAACAAGGTGAATAAGCTGTTTGAAATTTCTACTTTTATTTCATCATATACTTTCAATTCTTTGGTAGTTGCAATATTAAACAGTTGTTTCATCCCAAATATGTTTGATATTTATCATAAAAAATATGTTTGATATCTATCATATCATAAAGTCATAAATTTGTAACGTGAGCTATGTTTGTTTCCATGTTGCAGTGCATAAGTAGAATGCGAGTTGATCTCATTGACAGTTATCCAAAGTTTAAGTCTTGCTAGATATGTAAAATTCTATCTTAACTTTATTTTATGACTACTTCATCAATGAGAGAAAAAAATATTTAATGCCGTCTACTGTTGTTTGATAAATGGAGAAAATATTAAAAGATCTTTTATATATTTGTGTTATATAATCAAAAATGAAAAAATATCTGTTTTCTTAAAATGTTATAAAAAAGAATATTAAAACGGGAAAAATGGAATGTAGTAAAAACATTAGGATTTAAGGAATATTAAGTTTGGAATGTAAGAAATGGAATAATAATGAAGCTTTTTCTGTTATTTTTTACAAAGTGTACTAAATCTGCTTGAAATGTGTAATGCAATTTATTCCTAAAATAAGTAAAATTTCAGTTTTATCTCAGATACATATAAGGTTTAATAGCAGTCTAGATAATACTGCAGAATTGCTTTTGGCTTAAAACATCCTGTACAAGAGGCATTGCTTACTGACACATGCACTACAATACAAGCAATCCAGTATGTACTGAAAATCATTTGTGATAGGTTGTACATAGATAAGGGTACTATAAATTTGGACGCATTTCAAATATATATATATATCAAATAATTCAACTATAATAAACTAATTTGCATATTAAAGTGCATATCAAATAATATGAATAAATTCGATATTGCACCTAAAGATTTATAGAAGCATTTTGCGAGGGGAAGGGCATATTTTAGTTTAAATTTCCACCAGAAAATTTTGCTCTAGTGCTAATACTGTAAAAAATATGGAGATTTAAATCTATTAGAATAGGTGCACTCTTGAAAACTTATACTGGACTGCTACATTGTTAATAGTGTAGTAATGTGCTTGTGAATGAGTAAATGCCATATAATCCTAGTGTTTCTCATTCAATTAATGTACTGCGATACTAATATTGCCATCTGCTGATGAAAATGTATTGTTACAGGATTGGAATTAAATGTATTGTTACAAATTTTGTATATATGTAAATAATTTTAGTGAAATTGTATTATTTTTTATAAAATGTAACGAGAAAAGTCTGAAGAGACGAATCTTTGTTGAAAAAATAAGATTACAGGGGCAAGTCTGTTGAGGTTGCCAAGATATCCCTAAAGTGGCGGTGGGTTTGGTGACTAATTTTCCTCACCAAATTTGGCGAGAAATGTCTGAAGTCACCAAACTTGGTGACATTTTGGTCCAGCCCCTGTATAATCAGAATTGATATTATAATCGAATAACTTTAATTGATCCCTATATGTAACTGTAATTGTATCCACCCTTTATATGTAACATTTTCTTCGTAAAATTAACTTCCTCCAGTAATTTTGAGAAGTGGATGATACTAGAGATTTATTAGCAGGGAAAAATCTAAGCACAGAAAGAGCATCTCTTCTGAGTTGTTTAATTCAGCCTTGAGTTGAGTATTGAGAAATCCCACCAGAGCTTCTCCTTTTAGATGTTAAAGATTTGAGATGCTGAAAATGACCATCAGCTGAGAAGTTTCCAGGGGCTTTGCAAGCCACTATAGGAGATTCTTCCATTGCAAGAATCTTCATGAATTGACGGAGAATGAGCAAACGTTCTTGTGGATAAAAGAATGTGAGGACTCATTTAACAAACTGACGGCGGCTTTAACATCTGTAATCCTGATTTATCCTCAGCTTGACAAAGCATTTATTCTTGACAGGAACATGACATCACTATCCGTATAAGTCATCAGAAAGGATTATACAGAAACACCAACTTCCTGTCTAGAGGACTCTAAGAAGAAAGCTGCCGATATAGTTTCAGGGTTGAAATGAAATACTACAAGCTATTCAATCCAGTTGCATGTCAAATTTCAACTTCATCATCATCTGACCCAGAGCTACAGAGTCACGAAGAAGTCCGGAAAAAACCAGTTGGAAAATGGTGATGTTAAATCTGTAGTTTATTGAATGGAATCTTCATGTAGGAAACCTACCTGGCAAGATATTTCGATGTATAGTTCTATGACAAACAAAATTGAGTTCTCCGGAACTCGCTACATATTTGAAATGCCATCTTGTACAGGAATTTTGAATCAGATGGTGGAAAGGCATTCTGCTGGCAGATGATCCTTCCAAGATCCCGGATGTTTGTTGAGAATTACACAGCAGTCTGACAGTATAAGCCATTTAGGAATAATGAAGACTTTTAATGACTTTTGAGAATGCTTCTACTTTATTTAAGGGCTGAGATACAAAAGTGGTGCCAATCTTGTGATGCATGTGTAGGTTGGAAAGGACCAAAGAAATGCAGCAAGGGAAACTGCAACATTACAGTGTCTGAAAAGATCCATAAATAAAGGATGAAATATCTAACGAGATTAAAGACAGAGATAGAAAACATGAAGAAATGAAAGACGGGAAAGAAGTTCTTGATTCTTATGTGCCTGAAGTAGAGATAGAAGAAAGTGAAAATGCAACTGTCAAGATCGTAGAAAGTGATAATGAAGTTACAAAGTCTTAATTAGCAAGTATTGAACCATCTGAAAATTCATGTGCTGCTGAGATGGAAAAAGCTGATCTACAACTTACACAGAGTGCTCCAGTATTGCAAGAAAAATCACCCACTTTGCAAACTGTATGTGTGTCTCATAGTGCAGATTGTGCAGAGAAGGACTTAATTCTAAACCTGGATACTTCTGCTAGCAAAGGATCGGATTCTTTTTGCGATTCTGCTGCAAACAGCGGAACTGGTTTTCAGGAAATAGAAGTAAATAAGCATGTACGATTTGCTAAAGATACCGAGGTAAACTTTACACATGCTGCGAATGATCTACAAAGTGGTGAACGAACTGTTTTAGATCTTTCAGTGGATGAAAAGTCTGAAAGGACTGAATTTTCAGACTGTGATATGCAAAACAGAAATGCATCTGAGAACTGCAGTGGAAGACTATTCGACCCGGGTATAACTTGATGAAAAGACTAAAACTGAAATTCATTCAGGACTTTAATTTGTATTATTTGAAATTGTTATGTGTTTAATTTGTGTATATAACTTATAACATAGTGTAAATATTTGTTTCTTTAGTTATGTTGTTTGTGTTATTACCTTTTGTTTGTATAGAATTATGCTTCTGAACAAGAATTGTACTGCCCGGGAAGTGCAGTCCTTGGAAGGGGGCAGTGTTACGTAATGTCCAGGCGTGGTAAGACAGCTTCCCCGCAAAGCATGTTTAGGGTTGCCATAAAATGGCAATGTAAGGCAGAGTTGCCACATATGGTAAGAAATTGCCCATTTGGCGATATGCCATGGACAGATGGAGAACTTTCTGGAATGAATTATTACCGGTTTAGCCCAGAATGCTCTCGAGCGCAAGGCAAAAGCTATATAAACCTTGCTAGTATGTGGAGTTAGTTAGTATCGAGTTGGTGCCTCATCAAGAGTGCGAGTCAGTGTGTCTCATCTAGTTAGTCCCTACGGAGATGATAAGAGTTGACAGCCAGCCAGCGAGTACCGAGTGGATCGTCGAGTGCAGTGAAGGAGTCTCTTAGTGCATCGTCGAGAGAGCCTGTTGAGCTCCGGGAATGACTGAACCGAAGACTCGGTTCGGAAGACAATTTATGGTGTGCATCAAAGCGGCCGTGAATGGTTTTGTGAATATGAAAATATTTTAGAAAATCTACATTTTAAGAAAATACTATGTGTAACACACAGCTTTCAAGCGCATCACCTATCAGCTGTTGGAGGGAATAATGGCCTGAAATACAATAGCCTTTCAGTCAGTGTATTGGAGTCAAGTACTAAATGGGGTGTTTTGCCCCGAGAGTTATTTTGTAACTTCAGTGTTTAATTATAATATCCTTATAAGTTTTACGTCCTTAAGTGTAATGTTTCCCTAATTGTGTTTCAGAATTAAAACTGAGAGTGAGTATTTTGATTAGTTAGTATTCCTCTAATTCTATTTAGCTGTTAACCCTAACAGGCTTAAAATTATGGTGTTCTGGCTATAGTTGGCACCCAGTGCTGGGTTCGAAAGATTTATCCAGTTGAGGAAAAAAACTATGTTTAAGACTCCAGGACATCGACTTATATTCTTTTCCAAGATTTAGATACCGTATATACCCGCGTCGTCGAGATATTTTGTCGAGATAAGTTGAGATATTTTGGGCAAAAAAAAAGACTTCAAAGTGGGGGGGGTCAACTTATACGCGGGGCCATAAAAAATTAAAAGAATCGGAAGTTCAAAAATTTCTTTATATAATGCAGTTGTTTTCTTCCCACACTCGAATTGGACGACTTATCAAATAAGTCACTTACTTGAAGTAATTTCATGACTTAAATTATGTGAGGAACTACAGTGGTGGCCAAAATTGTGGACACTCTTGGAAATTTTTATGTTTTTGCCCCTGAAAAATGCGAATGTCTGTGAAATACTCTCTGAATGATTATAAAATCATTTAAAAAATGTTGTATTAGCAACGAACTAGACGGCACAAAAGATGATGCTGTTTTTGAAAGTGAAAATGACGACGAAGGCTGTAGTAGTGATTGTAACAATACAGAGTTCGAGACTGAAAATATGTATGATGACGAGCCAATGATGACAGAAGAGTTCTATGAAATGTTTGGCGAATCTGACCATGATCGGACGTTGAAGGATTTTGATTTTGTTTATTTACCAAGGTATTTTTTATCGTATATTTACTTTTTTCTCAGATGTTTTTGAATAAATGTAGTACTTAAAAAATTTTTTCCGAAGTTTCTCGATTGATTTCGGAAGTGGGGGATCGACTTATACGCGGGTTTCTTATTTTCTACGAATTTTTTATGTCGAAGTGGGGGGGGTCGACTTATACGTGAGTATATATGGTACTACTTTCACCAGCGAAGTCTTCACCCAAAGATTATTTTGGAAATTGCATGAAGTAACGGTTTCATCTTCATTCGAAGAT